CGACAAATAAGTAAACTTTTAGCCCAAAGTTGACATTTATAAATTATGTATCATTTTTTTTGTAAATTATACATTTGATTTTACCTGTTGTATACCATGCCCCTTTGGCAGTGCGCAAGCATTTTGATCATTAACTTATGATCCATCCTCTGGCAAATCTACTTCTGCTTCAAATTCCTCTCTTGCATTTGATTGTTATTAAGCATCATAGTTGACTGTTATTGATTCAATAATTCAAGTGACCATCTCCCTTAATAATTGTGTTTATGTGATTCTGGCCCCTTTAAACAATTAATGCTGATTAGATAGAATTGGTGTCAAATCTGTACATAAAGTATTCAATATAACCGATTGGTTTTCATGTAGATGTTTACTTCAGTTGTCTGTGCCAATTGAACTTTCAAAGAGTGCAACTTTTAAGATATCGTAATGCTTCTTAATCAAGATACTTAATATACTTAATATATTAGAGCAGCAGTTGATGTAAATCCCTTTATATACATTACTCTTGAAATTTTTCGTTTGCCTACTTTAGAATTTCCTAATAATAGAATAATGGTCTGATACTTGTGTGATAACAATTTTGAGACCTTTACATATATGCTACTACCAAAATTTTTATTTTTAAGGTAATGTTGATTCTACTGAATTTAGATCATTTCATCATTTAAAGGTAGTTTTCGACTTTAAATTTAAACATAATAGTACCCCCTATGTAAACTTTACCTATATATGTGTTTCATTTCTTTGTAAATACTTCCATTTTACAAATGTTCTGAATATCAAAATTTAATCTTACCTGCTAGAGTAATACAAACCTTATGCTTAGGTTGTATCAATCTTTTACATTAAATTAGTTCAAAAAATTTAATTTTGAACTTAGGATACAAATAAATGCACCTCATGTATCACAAGTTGCCTCTGATGTAAGCCATAATGGTTGTGCAACTTCACTACATAAAGATCACTATGCTGGTTCTGTATACATAATTTATGATGCATGTTGAGCTCTATCCCTAAACAAGCAATTTAAGTTTTATGCTTCAAGTATAAAGCAAAGATGTCTATCCGAATTATCATATCTGGATCAAGTTCTGCACATTTTCTTAGTATGTTGACTGTTGCTCAATCGATTTCGCATTAAATCTGAAGAAGTTTATTAATTAAATTCACATAGTTTAATCATAATGTAGTCTCATGTTTAGATTAACCCAGAAGTCGAACTTTACAGCCTTGATTCATTACCATTATAGTGGCAAGATTATCAATATCACATGTAATTTAGAGAAGGTAGTGCATATTAAATGATAGTGGCTGCTTAATTAAATACATTTTACAATGTAGAAAATGTTTAACTTTTGGTACTTTTATTATACTTATTCAAAACTGCCAGAATTGTAATATAGATTATTGAGACTCTTATAATACAGAGATACTGTTCGCCATATGTACATAATGATAAAAAGTGTAGGGCATAATCTTTTAATCCAATCAGAAATATTTTGCAAGTGCTACTTAAACTCCAGATTATATGCATAATGTCGCCATTTACACATGTTGTTAGAGCTATAAAAATCTTTTCTGCTTTATGTGTTTCCTTCTCACTTTTTGTACAATTTATATCCCTAGTCTCATGGTTACGATCATATATATTATTAGTTTTAGTTATGGGCAGCTCCAATCAAAATTTTATTTTTTTGCGCTTCAAACAAGAGGTTTAGTGTTAAAATTGCGATATATTCTAATCATTGTGAATGGATGCTTGAAGATAGTTGTGTTATGAACTTAAGATTGCTTTGCTGGAACTTTCATGACTCCTTATAATAGAAGTTGTGTTTAACATTGACAACGCAACACTTTTGGAAAAGCCTACTAAAATTCATGAAGTCTTAATGTTAAATCCTCTTATAAAAACAATTTTAACTATATTAAGATATGGAGAGTGTATTATTCTTTTATCAGGAAGAATTGCATTACTGATACAATAAGTTTAAGCAAATGAATAATTTTAGTTCTAATGGCTACAATAAATAAAACACGAAGGCAAACTTGATATTTATAAATTGCCATTGGGACAGAATCTAGGTAAACTATCCATAAAAGCAGCAAGTTAACTAAAAACTGGCTAAAAATCAATAAGATCTTGAGAGGTACATCTTAAAATATTAGGATATAAACATTTCTTTAGTACATGCGATCACAAGTATAAGTTAAAGTTACTGAAGACAACTCAGTTAAAAATATTCTCGCACTTCAATAGCTTTTACAAGGGAAGGTTATCATGCTTTAG